GGGGTGGCCTCTTTAAAAGGAGGCACTCTGGCTATTGGGGGTGGTGACCAGGATAAGAGCTGGAATCCAGAGAAGTGGGTTACTTGTGAGGAACAACTTGGGCGTACTGTCAGCCCGAGCCCTCTAAGGGAGGGTTTGTTTATTTGATTGAAATACCCAGCACTAACTCTTGACTTGACCCCTAACCAAGCCCAGGGTAGGAGCTGAGACTTTCTGCACAGCCTGAAAGCCTGTGTCCCCTCTTTTGTATAAGGGGAAGGGGGCTCTGGCCTTGGAACTACTGCCTTTCTTGTTTTTTACGCACACCCACACCCTGTGCCCCAGAAGGGCTGGACTCGCTAAGAAGTACAGCTAGAGGGCTATACTCTATGTCCCAGGACTGGCCCTCAGAACTCCTGTTGCCTAGGAAATTATGTATGATGTAAGCCAGGTCCCTGCCTTCCTTCTACTCAAAGGGCAACCTCAAGACATAACCTTTGACTAGGGTTACCACCCATCCAGGTTTTCCCAGGATCCTCCCTCTTTTGAATTCTGAAAATTGTCCCCAACGGATTTAGGAACACATTGAATGTCACTGAGACATGTGCTCCTAAATCCCTTAGGCACTTTGAAAATTCTTCCCCCTTAGATTTTAAAGTTACCTAAGGGTGACAGGCCCAAAATGCCTGGGTTTTTAGGTTCCTTTTTAAATTGAGTGTTTTCTATCACACCTGTTTGAAATGGAACCTCGTGGTGATTCTATTCCAATTCATCCCCAGTTGTGCTCTGTGTGAGCATCTTATGAATGCAGAGACAAAACTGATTTCCGGAAGAGCAGCTAACAAAAGGAAAATGATGGCACATCCTCCAGAAGGCTTTAGTATATAAACTATCATTAAGTGGTTCTAGCGATCTCCTGTTGGCAAGTACCCACATTTAAAAAATCAATAACACATGAAATATAAACATACTATTAATGAGGACCTGTTGGGAAACACAGGGGGGGTTTAATTAGTTGCACTTTAGCAGCTGTGTCTGTGAGACACACAATTATGTCTTTTTCCTTGAGAAAATGCTAAATGAGATATCTCCGGACCAAAAGCTGCATTCTTTTCTGCTGGAAAATTCATTGCCTAGCCTTGTTCCTCTCTGGCATTTATGCTTGTGGTTTTTCCAAGTGATAAAGGCCCTGATTCAGCATTGCATAATAGAAATGCTGAATAGAGTCAGATCCTGCAACCCTCTCCTCTCATGAGCCACCTTTACTCATGCAAGCAATCCAAGTGATTTTTAATAGGGACTATTAATAAATAGTATAAATTAATAATTAGTATAAATAAATGAATAAAAACTTCTCCCTTAGTAATGGGTTTGCAGGCCAATCTCATTACCTTTAGACATGAACCCCTAGCTAACTGTTCCATGATTTAAAGAAACAAGGCATTTCAATCAGGGAAATCATTTCCCTGTCCTAATGTCCTGCAGTAAGGAAGATGCCGGGTCCAATCCTTCACATGTCGATGACATTCCTCACTGCCATAGAGTGAAAATTATACCGAGTGTGTTTGGGGACGTGAAAGAGAATAACTAATGCTACTGTCTGCAAGGAAAGCCCCCTAGGGTCTGTTGGATCCAGGACACCTGTGTGACTTTCTCACTCTTTTTTTCCTGTGTGTTTAAACTGCGTTAGCTCAAAATCGGAGATGGGATTGAGCTGCAATGTTTGGACCTGAAGCTTCCCAAATTTCAGGTTCCCAAATTGTGGTCTTGTCTCCTATCCATTCAAACTGTATTTCCAGCAAATGAACCATACACAGATTCTAGCTAAAATGGCTTCTCCTTAGCTGTATTCAGCCCCTCTGACCCTGAGGTATCCCATCTCTGCACTTGAGACTGGTGGACAATCTTGCCTTAGAGGTTGGCCCTGTGAGGTGGAACACTGTATTGCCGATGTCCAAAAAATTCTCCCATACTCTAGGCATGAAATCCTGACTCCATTGAAGTCAATGGCAAACTCCCATTGACTTGAATGGGGCCAGGATTTTACCCTAGTTTTTTATTATAGAAACATAATGTCCATAACAAACAAATTAACATAACTGCTTCAGACTGGCTTGAATTAACCAGCCTGTCTTCCCGCATTGCCCCCAATCCTGACCTCTTCAAAAGTTAACAATTCAACCTCTTCCAGAGGAGCTACGTCCCCATCTCTGGCTGGTCACTGCTGACTGGTTGTTTGTGGGTCCAAGCTGTTAAAAGAACCTTTCCTAGCATGCATTTCTGGTAGGCGACCCTCTATGTTTGGTTGGGCAAGGCAAGTGCTGCATCAGATGTTGAAGAATGCACTTCAATCTCTTCTACAGGATTTTTTAGTTCCTATTATGTCAACTTATTTCCAAGAAGACGACATATCCTCCCACCTGAAATCCTTCTCACTTTTCAAACGGGCCACAAAGCTTCTCCCTCCACTCCCCCCAATCATCTTCCCTTCCAATACTTGTACCAGTTATTTCTGTGTGCTGTGAGGCTTGCCCTGCAATGTGGGAACATCCCTGCTGAACTATTTCATTCTTAGCCAGAGTCAAGGGCAGAGTCAGTCTTGCACCGAGAATGAGCTTTGACTGGCTTACCCCCTGGGAATGGAGGCATTTGAAAAGCCGAATCCTTTGTTTGCCTACCTCCAGATGTGTCCACTGATCAGATATATACACACACACTTTATCTTTAGAGAATGTGGAGACTTGGGAAATGTAAAGGTGAAGTTAAAAGCACCATTTGAAGAAGAAATATTGCCCGTGATCACTGAATGGTTCAGAATGTTTTAGGGTGAATAGTGGGGCTGCTGAACTCATGACCTTTGTTCAGTGCATTTCGCACAGCTGGGGATTTTATATTCACGGAAATAGAAAATTTCTAGAGTTTTAAAATGTGGGTAGACGAGGCTCTTTCTTCAGAGAAAAACTTACAAGAGTGTAGAAAGGAGAATGCACAGAAAAGAGTTCGCATCAGACCCTGGTGGGGATGGGAATGGATTGTAAGGGTATGATTTGACTTTTTTGTGAATCTGTGGGTCCCCACCACCTCTTGAAAATCAGGTCCTGGAAGTCCCAGATTGGGACTATCCCAAAAACAGAGGAACACAAAATTAGCAAATACTTCCATAAACTTGGCTGTATGTCACCATGTCCACAGGGAGTCTGATGTGGACTCCTCAGTGAAAGTGTTACGGATCGGCATTTGCTTTTACTAATGAATGTATATGCTGCAATATTCATAACGACTCATGGGCAAACCTCAAGAGGGTTGGGTTTGGGTTGGGAAAGCTTCTGGAAATAATGCAGCTTTTCCCAATGTTACCCAACCACTTAGCTGGAAATCTTGTGTGTGAGCACAGCGTCTATCCCGTGATGATTAGGACTTCTGGTTTCAGAGATACTATGAGAATATTTTTTTTCTTGCAGTATGTTGTCTTGTGGTAGCCTTCCCAGCTACAACTAGGGTGTTAAGAGAAGTGTGAAAACAACCTCAAAAATAATTTTAACCAAATTTCATCATCCCACCTCCTTCCCTCCACCCCCTCTCACCCCCACTCCCCCAAATTCCTAGTTCAAGTTCATTTAGAATGCTGGACAAAGTTTAAAAAATTTTATGTCCAGGGCAGGGTCATCAATCCTAATTGCAGGTTGCTAAAAATTCACTTGAAGTTGTGTCTCAAACAGTATAACCAAACTTTTCTGTGAGGGACTATGAGAAGCCTTGTCTCAATTTCCATGTTCTGACAAGTTGAACATCTGATTAGATCTGGTTGGCCAGCGGGACTGGAACTGATGAGATAAGAGTCCATGTCACTACCCAGTGAAATAGTCTCCGGGGTTAGAATCTTTCTACTTAAAGGGATACTGACAAGATTAAAAATATATACCCATTTTACCAGAAAACCCACACTTTATAAGTATTCAGCCCAAAGAATTTGTAAATTAAAATCTATATACCTTCTCCACACATTTAAAACATTTTATTTAAAAATAATAGTAAGTACAGCATACGTATTTGTGATTATATGGGCAGAACTGATGCACATTGGAAATAATACTTTTAGAACTGCAGACAGAAGTATAACCTCAAGGGACATGGTAGATTAGCCCTTGTGGATATGTGACCTATACAGAAAGAACAGAAAAAGAAATGCTAAAATGTTCTATTACTAAAAATGAACAGCATGTGAAGTGACTGCTATTTTCATCCCTATTCTGTTTGGAATGAGAAATAGGAAGAGATGGTCGAATAATTCCATGTAGCTTTTTTTGTCTCTTAATACTGAATGCTGTGTTTTCTGGCTAGGATTATTTCAGAGAACCTGATTATTAATATTAATACTGGGGTAGCATCTAAAAATCCTAGAGATCAGAGCTCCATTGTGCCCAGTACTGTCCACACATAAAACAAAAGGAGATTTTTACCCTCAGTGTTGTGGGGTTTTACCTTACTCCTAGAGTAGTCAAATTGATTTCAGAGGGATTACTCATGGAGTAAGAGACTACACAACAGCCTGCTGGTGGAAAAATTTTGAATGAAACATTGTCTGGTTGGGAAACTGGGTTTTGTCAAAATCATAAGAACATAAAAATGGCCATACTGGGTCAGAGCAATGGTCTATCTAGCCCAATAGCCTGTCTTCTGACGTGCCCATGCCAGGTGCTTCAGAGTGAACAAACAGAACAGAGCATGGGGTTATATCCCTGACCATTTTGGCTAATAGTCATTGATGGACTCGTCCTCCATGAACTTATCTAATTATTTTGTGAGCCCAGTTGTAGTTTTGGCCTTCACAACATCTGCTGGCAACAAGTTCCACAGGTTCACTGTGCGTTGTGTGAAGAAGTACTTCCTTATGTTTGTTTTAAACCTGCTGCTTATTAATTTCATCAAGTGAGCCCCTGTGTTTCTTGTGTTATGTGAAGGAGTAAATAATACTTCTTTATTCACTTTCTGCACACCATTCATGATTGTATAGACCTCTGTCATATCCCTTCCAACTTTGGTCATCTCTTTTCTAAACTGACTAGTCCCAGTCTTTTCAACCTCTTCTTATATGGAAGCTGTTCCAAACCCTTAATCAACATTTTTCTCAGGAAAAAATTTGGCTTTGGCTGTTTTTCATTGGAGGAAAATTATATGAAATCTTTATTTCAGTTTGACCCAAAGAGAAACATTAATATATCTCTACATCTGCCTGATACACCCTAGTGACTCATGGGAGTTGGAGTCCCAGGTTGTTCGTGTCCCTATTCTGCCCTGTGGGCCTTCCTCTCTTGCCAGACTACATATCCCACCAAAGTGTCCCCATGTTGAAAATTCCATTTTCCAAACCACTCTACTCAGTGTGAATATGGGTTGCAGATTATGACCCAAAAAATTCCAGGGCTACATGCTCCTGGAGCTCAATGCCCCGTGCTTAGAGAATGGAGATCTAAATAATGCCAGAAATTGCCACAAGAGCTTAGGTTCTAAGGGAAAATGATCTGTATAAAAACAAAAGTTAGGACAGCCGAGTTGCTAAGAAGTGCCCCTGAAGCTGAGGGGTTCTGTGGACCAGGTGTAGCTGTACTGTACAAATATACATGTGTGGTTCTGCAAGCTTGACCCTCACATTAGAAAAGGGCTCATACTTCAACCTGAATCAGTTTTTGTTTCCAAACAGTCACTGAAAGAAGGTAATTTAAAGGAAACAAACACACCAAAAACGACCTTCACACTGTCAGCTTTCTTTTCAATGGCCATGAGTTTAGAAAGACAACCTACATCTAACTCTTGATTTGAAAGGGAATGATTTTTTTAAACTACAGCAAACACAAATGAGGACTAATGTCTAACTCTTACTTTATTAACACAATAGGAAAAAATTCTGGGGAATTGCACTTGGAAATACATTGACTATAATATGTGTAAATTAATAAGCACTTAGTATGACACATTGAGACAGAATGCTTTTCTTTAATGTGATTTTCTACCTCTATCATAGCTAATAAAATGATTTTAATTATTAAGAAATCTCAAAAAGGTAGGAAATTTATTGTTTGAAAGCATAAAGATTTATGTAAAAAATTCTGTTCAAGATGTTTAATAACTTCACCTACTCCCACCCATCCCTCTTCCTCAAAAAGTTCTGTATTGGAAAGTAGATAAGAATTTTCCCTCCTGTTCAAATCAGCATTTGAAAAATTAAAAAAGCTATTAATTTCTTTCCCCTTAATGCCTTAGAATTCCCTACATTCCATTCTAGTCAGCTCTCAGGGTGAAATTCACCCCAGTACAGAGGACTTAAACAAGGATCCTAGCAGAGTTTTAGTGCCACATAAACTCTTAAAGAGGAATTAATGCACCGATCTGCTTTAATTGGATTACTTGCAAAATTAATCATGTGTTTAAATGCTCGATTGAAGCCTAAATGGGATTTAAAGGGGACAAGGAGAGGATTCTTTAAAAATTGGGATTGTACCTGATTTTCCTTCTTCATGATGGTGTGAGACGGCCTGAGCTGTTTGTGGGTTTTGTTGTTGGTTTTTTATTTTTTATTCTTGTAGTTTGGACTGCCAAGGCCGCTCCTACTGGAGTTTTGTAGGTCTCAGCTCAAATGTACTGGGAAATTTTGTGCCCTAATTGAAAGGTTGAGGGATGTTCAACCTTTAACAAAGACATCCTTTACGTAAAATATCACTTAGTCATGGACGTTAAGTAGGGATTCACAAACAAAGCATTTTAAACAAGCTGGCTGCGGACTCCAACCCTCAGTTGTTTAACTTTTTCAGTCTTGGCTCTTGTGATGTTATTTCACCAGTCCACCATTCACCATAGAGTTTTCAGGGCAGACAAGACCTAGGGTCAACTCTACACTTAAAACGCTTGCATTGGTGCAGCTGCGCCGATGCAGTGCTTTAACGAAGACGCTGTATGCCGACGGGAGAGAACTCTTCTGTCGGCGTAGTTAATCCACCTCCCTGAGAAGTGGGACACACTGGTCTCATGTAAAAATGAAATAGGAATTTAAAAGAAAATATTTCAGCCCTTTTTAGAAAAATCATAAAGAAGCAAATAACAACCCCCTCAAACCCACAAATCCACGTTTTTCCCCACCGTAAGTTACGTACAGGGTCCTGTGGGCCTCTCTGCACTTAGTGAATTCCATCATTCCAGAATAAATTACATTTCTTTGAACCACAGTTTCAGCATAAAAACAACTGCAACTTGCACCCCGTGGTGCTTTTTCATGATAAAAAGTTTAATAAATATCTAGTAAACTGCAATTATTTTTGTTCTATCTTTTAAAATTGTCATTACATGACCTATAAGTCTGCATTTTGCAGAAATGTTCACCACTCTGAATAGTAGATTGGATCAGTAGATTAGCTTTCCCTTTTCTTACACACGTAGCCTAGATACCTTAACTTGCGCTAGCATTAGTGTTGCACTTGTGAAGCGTCAAGGAAAAAAAGTAATGTGCAACCCTTGTGGAATCTTCAATTTCACAGGTATTGGTTCCTACAGACCCAGCTCTGTTTCCTGTTCCTGCAACACGTAGCGTATAGGAAACTGATCCTGAGAGGTATGGTGCACCCTGTACATGCAGGAAGCACTCAGCACCTGGCAGGATCAGGCACTAGGTCTATTAGCAATGAGACGATTCAAGTGTTCTAAACTTTAGGCAAGAAATGATATTTGCAAATACGTTTGAGCAGCTTCCGCTTTAACTCCGCACCATTTCATTATTTTAGAATGCATCCACCCTATGCTCACTGCTTCATCTGCATTGGCTCCATCAGCTCCTTGGTTCTAGTGCACAAGGAGCTAACAGTGGAGGCAGTACTGACCCTTGTAGCTCGCCCACTGTAGAATGCTGCAACATGCCGTACATTGGTGTGCTACAGTTCAATTAGCACAAGATGGCTGCAAATAGTTTTGCCTTCTAGATTTTATTTTCTCGAGGAGGCAGTTGCTTCTGAGACAGACCTCTGCTCTCTCTCCCCTGTATGAAAGGAAACTGGATCGTAGTTTTGAAGAGCTGCATTAGGCTCCGTTTGTGATAAGCTTTGGACTTGGCCATGAATTATGATTATTTTAAGAGACTTTATTTAAAAAAAATCACATTGCAATTCTTCTGTAATTCTTTAAAACGTCCTGGTAACTAACTCTTTTCCAGTTTCTCTGACACATTGTATACATTACAAAACTGCAGGGACGTGAGTTGCTTTCACTTTCTTGTGACATCGGGAACTTTAATGAAACAAACTCCGAATAGCTTTTAAAACAGCTATGAATGTACAATATCTTTAGGCCATTCCAGTATTCCAAGGTCTCCGTTTGCTACCCTAGCACATGTCCTGTTTTGAGAAGGATTTTAAATGGCTCCTTCTCTTTTTTGAAGGCTCTATTCTGTTTTGACACTTTGAAAAAGAAAGAGAGAGAAAGCAAACCCTTCAGACAGGTGTCGTTCTCCTGTTAACCATATTGATGTGGAGTCCTTCTTTAAATTCCTTCTGAAGAAAGTTGTGGACCTGCAGAAAGCTGGCTTCTTGGTCCGCATGGTAACTGGCTGCAGTTGTAACCTTCAAGGGCTCTCTGGACAGAGTGTACATGGAAATTTCATTCATAGGGATGGAACTGGCAATCTTCATGCCAACTGGAGAAACGTCCCTAGACGGAGAAGGCTCTGTCGATCGAGAGCTTGATCTGGATCTCCTCCTCCTGTATCTATAGCTTGGCATCCTGGCATAAGGGGAAGAGGAAGAAGTCTTAAGGAATTCCCTCTTGGTTTTAAATCTCAACTCTTTGTTTTTCTCAATGTAAATGTTCACTGCCAATACTCCTATGGTTTCAGCCACAATAAAAGACAAAGCTCCGAAGTAAAAAGACCAGCCGTAGTTGTAATGGTTCTTTTTGTCCTCATCTCGCTTGTCACTTGGGTCACCTGCATTGCTGGATATATAGACAATGATCCCTATGATATTACTTAGTCCTGGAAAAAGAAACAACAAATTAGTCTTTACGGGTGGGAAGGCAGAAACTCAAACAAAATTGCCCTCTAGATCAGAAAACTTAAAATTGCTACAAGGCAAGATTTCATTTATTTATAGTAAAACAATATATCAGCAGTCATAAACTTAAAAACAAACCCAAAAGTTTGTCTGGGGGGAGGCATAAAAATATCTACTAGAAATTAGAGACATGATCTCACCGAATAGTTTATAATAACTCTTAGAAAGCCTGAGCCAACCCTCACTGAAGTCAGTGGAAATATTTTGATTGACTTCAGTGAAATTTGGTTCAGAGATACGTAGGACTTTTCATACATGGATCTCAAAGTGCTTCACAAAGGAAGAAAAGTATCATTTTGCAGATGGGGAAAATGAGACACTGAGATCTACCCAAAATAACATAGCAGGGCAGAATCAGGAACAGAACCCAGATCTCTAGACTCTCATGCCAATGGCCCATCCATTGGGTCACACAGTCTCACAAGTTGCTTGCATAGTCCCACTAACTTTGATGGAGCAGGACTGGCCCATAGTTCTTTGTTAATGGTGACAGAGCGGTGACAAGTCAGAACTGGCTAATGTGGTTTAATGGCCTTATAATATTCAGAAGTGGTAATAAAGATACACTGTGAGCCCAGGGCTATAGCTGTTCACCTTGATCAAAATAAATTATCCTCCATCTTGATGGATTTTTCATCGAAATGCTGCATACTTCATCTGAAGCTTTAAGGAAAGATATTAACAATGTGACTGACTCTATGATGTCTCTAGTGTGGAAAATGTGCTAGGATATCAAAGGCAATGTTTTCTGACACTATACTTGGGGCCAGGGGCGGCTCCAGGCACCAGCACACCAAGCACGTTCCTGGGGCGGCAAGCTGCGGGGGGCGGCCTGCCAGCTGCTATGAGGGCGGCAGTCAGGCTGCCTTTGGCGGCATGCATGCGGTAGGTCCGTCGGTCCCACGGTTTTGGCGGCAATTCGGCGGCGGGGATGCCGAAGGCGCAGGACCGGCAGACCTCCTGTGGGCATACCGCCGAATCGGCGTGACCAGCGGACCTCCTGCAGGCGCGCCGCGGAAAGCCGCCTGACTGCCGTGCTTGGGGCGGCATAGAGCCATACATAGAGCCATACATAGAGCCGCCCCTGCTTGGGGCAAAGAAAAACCTTGGCTGTGAGAGGTGCCTGATTCAGATTCCACATGGCCACCTAAGGTCTTTAACAAAGTGTAAAACACTTGTGTTACTGGCCTTAGTTGAAGGGCAGTGAAATGTCACTTTCAGGAAAAACTCATTAGGTTAAGTGCCTTGCCAGGATTTCCCTGTTAAAATGCTTCAAGAACTTAGTTTCTGTCATGAGATTTGCCTAAGATGAAGTTGTTGATGCCCTTGAACTCCTGGGAAAAAGAACAGAAAGGGATCCCCCCGCCCACCTATTAGTCATCTGATGGGAAATGGCAAATCCCTGAAGCTCTGTGTATAGTCTGGGAGCTAACTCCTGCTTTCAGGAGAAGTTTGGTGTGCGTAAGGCAGGCAGGATTTGGCCCTGTGTGCTATAAAATGCTAGACACAATTACAGTAGAATCATACGATACCATTTCACATTTTAAAAGTGCAGAAGGAGCTTACAATGTGTGAAGGAAATCCATGAAACAGACCAAATGGGCTGATTTGCAGCGTGCCATCTGCTCTGTTTGTACCAAATCACAGGGGCAATGGCAAACCAGAACACAGACACCTTGCTGGAGATGATGAGGTTCAATGTGCTCCTTTATGTGGCTCAGAAACTGCTGGGAGTTACGTAAGTATCCAGGGAGCTCGCGTAAGCCCCTGGCAGTCTGAGAGGAAGCTCACTGCATGCCCATGCTGGGTTCATTCAGCCCCTGTGCTCTTAGAAATCCACTAGCATGTTCATAAAATGCATCACCAAGGTATTGATCCCTGCATGCTATTTCTGCAACTTGTGTGCTGCAAGGTATGTTTCACGTCTCAAATCTCTCCCACTGTCATTTGTTGAGATGGGCTGAGACCTCATAATTTGAGTCCAGCTGCAGATTTCAGGCAGCCTGACGTTGATGCAGTTTTAGTTTGGCTCATTTGCCAACCCGTGAGCTTAGCCCCTCCAACATATTAGTGTGGCCATAGTTTGGCCTCTAACGTAGGGACCATTTGCAAAACTTAGTTTTGGATTTCAAACATGGCTAGCAGGGGATGGTTTCATTTGAACCTTCTGTGGTCATTTGGATTTAACTCTGATTTCTCCCATACTTCTATGGGCAGCAACCCCATTTGTGGATCTGTTGCATGGCATGATACTAACCTATACATCTCATAGAATTGGAAGGGACCTTGAAAGGTCATTGAGTCCAGCCCCCTGCCTTCACCAGCAGGACCAAGTACTGGCTTTGCCCCAGATCCCTAAGGGGCCCCCTTAAGGATTGAACTCACAACCCTGGATTTAGCAGGCCAATGCTCAAATCACTGAGCTGTCCCTCCGCCTAACATGCTGATGTCATTTGATATGGCATCACATGCAAAAAGATGGGTTCGCCACCTTCCTACTGAGACTGGATATGTGTTTTATCACTGATACATGTATTTTAAAGTGCCCATTCCTAGAGTAAGCTGCTATGCTCTTCTTTACGCTGTGGTGCACAGATGCTGAAAGAGGACATGTCATTTGGTAACAAGATAGAATGTGGAAAGCCCACCTGCTGAGCTGGAAACTCTCATTTTAAAAACCATTTCACATTCAAGCGCCAAAGAGAAGCGTCATTAAAATCCATGGACAAATCCTCATCAGGCCACAAACCATTGAGGCTCTCATGGGAGATATCTCTGTCCCTCGGCTGACCAAGTCTCCTTCCCCGCCTTCCCTGCTTGGCCTCAATCTCTAAACACAACAAATTATAAATACTACTGGCTGGCTTTTAATTCTGACTTGTCATCCAGAATCCTTATGTGTGAAAAGCAATGAGCCTTGAGAAGCCAGTTCCAGTCTCTGATTACAGGCTTGGTGCAGTTTGAAGCGGTTTTAAGAAACAGTATTTGAGCTCCTTCTGTCCTGCTGTGACCATCTCCTTCTGCAGCAAACTGCGTTTATGTATCCTAAACACTGTAGGGCCATTTGTACAAATGTCCTTAAAATGAGCTATGTGGAGGGTTACACATCTGGCTGGGACTTCAAAAGAGCCCAAGGGAATTAGATGCTGTCTAGTTAAGGTACTTACATGGTCCCCTTTTGTGTTGTATTGGAGCACCTTCAATGTAATTAGACTCACCACACCCCAATGAGATAGGAAAATAATATTATCTCAATTTTAGAAATAGGAAACTGAGGCACAACTCTGGTATTTAGGGTCCTAATTGAATCAATGGAAGTTAGGAGCCTACATACCTTTGTGGGTCTGGGTCAAAGTGACGTGCCCAAGGTTTTCATAGATTCCAAGGCCAGAAGGAACCACTGTGATTGTCTAGTCTGACCTTCTATATAACCCAATCCAGAGAACTTCCCCAAAATAATTCCTAGAGCAGATCTTTTAAGAAAAAGATCCAGTCTTGATTTACAGATTGTCAGTGATGGGAGAATCCACCACGATCCTTGGTAAATTGCACTGGTCACACAGGAAGCCCGCAGTAAAGCAAGTATTTGAACTTCAAGTCTCCAAAGTCCCAGGCTAGCATCACAAACGCTGGGCCATCTTTCCTCCACTTTCCAATTCCATGGGTTTTGGGCACTTAGTGCCATTCTTTTAGAAATCCCAGCCTTTGCTTCTCAGCACTTCACAGCCCATACCGCAGGCAGCCGTACAGCTGGCGTTGTTTAGCTGCTGAGCCGCGTCTGTGTGTTTGCATTTCCAGTTTAGAAAGGAGACGCTACTAAATAAATAAATTTCAGGCAAGAACGTACCTGCTGCAACAAACAGAATCCCAGCACTGAGGATAATGTTGTTTTTGCTGTTGTAAATCCTTCCTGCTCCGACACAGAGTCCTCCCAGTAATAGCAATATTGTGCTTAGGATGGGGAATACACTGGAGGCACGGACAATACCTGAGGGATATATAAGAGGAAAAACATGACAGTTAGTAATTAGCCCAGATCCCTTTTCAGGTGCTAGCATAGAGATCACAAGGCACATTTCCTCAGGGTGACCCTCAGCCTCTGCTGGCCTGGCACCATCACGGCGTTTGCATGTGGAGGCAGGTTTTAGACCCAGGGTCATGAGCCGATGGCTGATGTGATGGAGACAAAGTGATTGTGACAGCGTACACTTTTCATTGGCTGCTCCTAAATATTTTGAGATTTCTGCTGGCAAGTTTGGAGCTATTACCATAATCTGCCTTTTGATGCTGCTGCATGTGGAACGTTTTTGACAACGCACCGGCCAACGAGGTTAGAGAGACGCACCCCCATCAGCTTGCAGGCAAAAGCACTGAAAAATGCCTGAGCTGACTATTAACTATATCATACCATGTGGGCAGCTTTATGAGATGTAGACGTGGTTTGGTACATGTGTGACATCCGCAAATTCAGGTAATTAAGCCCTTTGTCTTCATGTCACAGTCTTGCTAGCATCTCTCTCTGTCAGCTGTAGAATATTAATGGACTCAAAGCTCCCTGACTTTTAGAAAGGAAGATATTGAGACTAGTGTATCATGAATATTTGCATTTAATTGGGATCATTTGTCACACTTTTTATTTATTTATATGTTAGGCACTGTCAGGCCATCCACCAACAATGGTATCTAAGCCACCATGGGAGAATTTAAATACCGCCAGTGCAGGCCAGGCATCAAAACCAGGGCACCCCTAGGTTAGAGAGCAACAGAAGGGAATGAGGAGGGGGAAACAAATGCAGCAAATGAAATGAGCTTAAACCAAGAAACAGGAGGAAGAAGTGGGCTGAATACACAAATAAAAGAAGGAGGAGGAAGAAATATGGTCAAATGCGCTAGAAATAGTGATACAGGACAAAAAAGAAAAGAGGGGCCTATGGGCGCAGGGGGTGGGGTGTGGGAATACACTGACTAAACTGTTCCTGAAAGCAAGAATTGTAACACAAACATAGAGGGATAAAGGTGTGTGGGGGGAGGGGGAGGTGAGGTTTTGTAACAAGGGCCACGGAGAGGTCAATGTGCTAAACGGAGAAGGAGAAATCATCAGGGCGGAGGCACAAAGGCATAAGGACACTAAGGGGTGGGGCTGGTGGTGGCTAGTACAGAGTGGGGACCCAGACAATGCAAACGGACTTGGTTAGTGGTGAGTAATGGAAATCTAGTACACTAACTGCAAGGTGTCGCACTAAGGATGTGTTGTCTCTCGGGTGAAATTTCGAGGCCCATCTCCTTGTTTGGCAGGCATGGTGAGCCAGGCCCCTCATTTCCCGAGGAGAAATGGCCAGATGTCGTAGCTGAGGTTTCTCATTTTAGTTTCGGTGGCCGTGATTTGCCCACATTAGCCAAGTACCTTCTAACCTGGCTGTTTACCAGAGCTCTCCTAGGCTTCAACACTGCTCCCATGGTAATGAATGACAAAAACTCTCATGCACCGCAACAGGAGCAGGCGTGGGCACCACCATCATGATGTATTATTTGCATTGCACGACGCCTACTCGTGGACCAGGACCCTACCGTGCTAGGTGCTGTACAAACTTGGAACAAAAAGACCCTCCCTTCCCAAAGAACTTACAATTGTTGTGAACTGTAGTTGTGAGAAAAGTTTGCGTCCTGCCATACTTGGCATCTTTGCTACACAAGGCTGTTTATGCTGGAGATATTTTCTAAGCAGTTATAAAAGTGGTTCAGATAAAATAATGTAAAACTATCTGGAGTTGCTGTGTGGATCCAGTTTTAGGCAGCCTGAACTAGTTTTAGGATGAATATGCAAAGAAAATATATTTCCATTATTTGCTCATTTCTTGCTGGGATCCATGATCTGCTACACCTGTTCCTGCTCCTGCCTTCTATTTTGCTTCTCACACAATCACTTCACTCGTTTTACCGTCAGCTTCTGAATCTCTAAGCAGCACATGCAGCTCACACAAGCTCTGGTGCTAGAAATTGTGTGACTGACTGATTTTTTTTATTTGCCAGCAATTCCAAAACATGGAAGGTATTTGTTTCAGGTTGTTGGAAACATTTTGTTTTGACATGGCGCTTCTTTAAAAGGTTTTTAATTAATTAAAAATTAAAGTTAAAGCAAATTTTGAAATGAAAAGTTGTTTCAAATAAAAAAAATGGGAAGTTTCAATTTTTTCAGGTTTTTTTAATTTTTTTGGGGGGTATCAAAACAATTCGGTGAATTTGTAAAATGTTTCACTTGACCCGAATCTGCATTTTTCACCAAAAGCTTCACCTGAAAAATTTCACCCACCTCTCCTGTTGCTATCATAGATAGTGTCTCCACCTGTCTCTTGGTGCCTCTCAAGTAACACAATGGATTCTACAGCTTCCCTGACAGAGGCAGTGCTATTTAGGCCTCGTCTAAACGTAAAGTTTGTACTGACGTATCTATATTGGTCAGGGATGTGAAGAAAACCTCATACCCTGGTAACAAGTGTGCTAACAAGCCTCCCCCCCCTCCCCCACTGTAGCTGCAGCTGTACCACCACAAGAGTGCTATGCTGCCCCAAGCCAATGTCGTTCAGGGTGGTGGTGTTCCAATGTTGGCAGGACTCCTCTTTCTGTTGGCGCATGCTGTGTCTCTGTTGGCGCATGCTGTGTCTCTGTTGGCGCATGCTGTGTCTACACTGGGGGATAGGCCAGGATAGGCCATGCAGTGTAGACGGTGCGTTCTGTAATCTGCATGTCCTGTTAATGGGGCCATTCCCCAGGGCATCCTGAACATTGGGACTCCACTCTATTGTTCCCATTTATTTGTGGTGTAGAACGTAACATACAATATAAGGACCAATGGCCAAGATTTTCAAAAGCAAATAGTGATTTTTTTTTTTTTTAGGTACCTCAATTGTAGAGTGCCCATCCTGGGATGCCTTAAAGGGGGCTAACTTTTCAGAAAGTGTTGCGCGCCCACCCTTGGAATAGCAGCACCCTTTAAGGTGCTTGGAGGTGGGCACCCAAACACTTAGTCATTCATGAATATCTTTGTCACAGGCAGAAAATTCATAGTAATAAAGAGTCACACTCATTCCCCTCCCCCATTCATGCTGTTCATTATGATTTCACTTAAACTAAAAGGACTTCCTTAAAATGTTCCACTATTACTAGAGAATACTTGCTACAGAAGCCAAATTCACAGCGTGGGCTATTCTACTCTTAATAATTAGCACCACAGATAATATTTGCTTTGTTAGTTAATTAACACATAGAGAGTCAAAACATGGCATTTTCTTCCCACACAATAGTGCAGAGTTTTCCTTCTACAACATGTATTTTTGGTCCTGAAATTTAAAAGCAGCTCATGTGTATTGTGCAGAGTTTACGTATGTCTCCCCATTCTGGTAATAAAATAACAGCACATCAAAAAATATGAAGGGAATCCAGTTTTTGCTTTCTCCTCTATTTTGTTTTTCTTGTTTACTGTCCTGTCTCTTTGCACCACTATCCATTATGACGCCTCCGGTGGTAAAGAAACTGCAGCACAGTTCCGCGCTTCTTCACCCAGGGCTCAGAAGCTCTACCTTTCTGTTCTGGCTTTTACTTTCCCCTGGAAGGGTGTAGCTACATGAACAGTGGGGGTGACATTTTCAAAAATGGAAGCTGCAGACCACTGTTCAACAGCGCATTCCTGGCTGCACAGGCAATTCCCGACTGCTACGTGCATGCATTGCAGAAATGCATGCAGTTACCCACAGGCCCCGATCCTGCAAGCTGCTCTGTGCCAATGCAGAGCCCCATTGCATTCAGTGGGGCTCACTGGGGCCCCAACTTCACACAGCAATTAAGCAAATGCTTACATTCCACTGATGGGAATAGGAGTTAAGCCTATGCTTAAGTGCAGTGCTGAACAGGGATGGTTTGCTGAATCGGGGCCTTTGAGCAGAGGGGGGTCTGCCTGTGGAGCAGTTTGCAGGTTCACAGTCTAAGAGCCGTATTGACAAAGGTATTTAAGTGCCTAAATATGCAGCTAGCTGCCTATTGCGCGTTACAAAAGCACCTATGCAGGCTGGGTGCCTAACTCATTTTTAGCTGTGTAGTCGCTGTGTTGGTCCCAGGAGATTAGAAAGATAAGGTGAGTGAGGTAATATCTTTCATTGAATCAGCGTCTGTTGGTGAGAGAGATGAGCGTTCGAGCTCCATAGAGCTCTCCTTTCCATCTGGGAAATGTACTCCAAGCAGGGCCGGCTCCAGGGTTTTTGCCGCCCCAAGCAGTGGGGAACAACAACAACAAAAAAAGCTGCGATCGCGATCGGTGGCAGCTCCACCGTGCCGCTTTCTTCTTCGGCGGCAGGTCCTTCCCTCCGAGAGAGACCGAGGGACCCGCCGCCGAAGAGCCCGACTGCCGCCCCTTCCCCTTGGCCGCCCCAAGCACCTGCTTGCTGAGTTGGTGCCTGGAGCCGGCCCTGACTCCAAGTGTCACAGCTAAATACAAGGTGGAACAGATTGTTTAGCATAACTAATTAACACATATTTCAAGGGACCATTCAGTGTAAAGTGGCCCCTTAACACCTTTCCAGTCATGGGGAGAAGCTGGCAGGGGTGTGTGATTTAAATGGGTTATAGATTGTTGTAATAAATCCAGTGTTTCTGTTAAGAGCTCTGTGTGACCTCGAAAGCTCGTCTCTCTCACCAACAGAAGTTGGTCCAATAAAAGATATGACCTCACCCACCTAGTCTCTCTAATATCCTGGATCCAACATGGCTACAGCAACATTGCATATAACTTACCAGTCAGATGTATATTTTTCTGATTTCCACAAGCACCTGCAGTAGCTGCAGGTGGAAGAGCAGATACACTTCTGCAGAACCCAGATCTTCTTTTTTGAAAATAATGCCCCTTTTCTTTCACCTACTTTATTATCTTAACACAGTTTGGCTGGGATAACTCGTGAGTGGGAGAGTCACAAATCATATGAGAGGTTTCAGAGTAGCAGCCAGGTTATTCTGTATCCGCAAAAAGAACAGGAGTACTTGTGGCACCTTAGAGACTAACAAATTTATTGAACAAATCATATGAATGAGTGATGCTGTCATTCCATACAAGAGCCAACAAAAATCTCTCTACTCTGCTCTGCGAGTACATGCCTTGTTTATGGCACATGTTTTAAGGAAAAGCTCATTTTGACGGTGTTTAAAGTGTTACAGTTGATTTCATTGGTAGTATTGTCAATTCCTTTTACCTGTAAAGCCAGGTTGCCTTAGTTATCAGGAGACAAAGTAGCTACAGCAATCCAACTCAACAGGTACCAGTGTGTGACAGTAAAGTCAGTACTTAAAACACACTGAAACCTTCTTAAATTATTTTTTTACGTTATTGTGATTTTTCAGGTCAGATACTTTACAGACTGCCATGGCTTGAAGGCTTTATATAATTGAAAAGCAAGGAATCCCTATTTTCCATTATTTCCAGTGGTATTTGGTATGTGTTTCTAGAACTGATGCTTTGCAAGATAGTGGACTCTAAAACCATCACTGAGCCGTGACTGCATACATCGTAGCAAATCTCAGATCTCTGACTAGTATAATTCCTTTTCTCTACTTTCGCCTTATCCTAGCTACCACATGTGGGTGGAGGAATTAAAACATTTTTATGGCAGGGTTCTTTTTATTTAAAAAAAAATGATGTCAATAGGAGAACTGCTTGTCAGGATTTAATCTTAGCAATTACATTTACCAGTTAGATTAGTGGACAGAATGCAGTGTGAAGATCAAAGGAGCAAAATAAATTCAGTTTATTCCATGTTTGGAATGTGTTTACTTAGGGTATGTCTTCACGAGAGGCGGCTCCAGGCACCAGCGCAGCAAGCGCGTGCCTGGGGCGGCAAGCCGAGGGGGGTGGTCACCGTGAGGGCGGTCACCCTGCCAGTCACCGTGAGGGCGGCAGTCAGGCTGCCTTCAGCGGCATGCCTGCGGGAGGTCTGCCGGTCCCGCGGCTTCGGTGGCAATTCGGCGGTGGGTACGCCGAAGGCACGGGACCAGTGGACCTCCCGCAGGCATGCCGCCAAATCCGCATTAATAGCAGACCTCCCGCAGGCGACCCGCCGAAAGCCGCCTGACTGCCGTGCTTGGGGCGGCAAAATACATAGAACTGCCCCTGGCCTTCACTGCCAATGTTCACTACGGCAGCGCTTTAATGTGACTGTATAGTCGCACCATGAGGAGAGTAGCTAACAGCGTTGGGAGCATGGC